CAAAGCCCATATTTTATAGAACATGGAACGATCAAAATCGTTAATGATCTTGATCCGAACAGGGGATTGAGCGATTTAACTAAGGGTTTCTGGAAACATTGTTTTACTGCCGAACATGATAAACTAGGTATGCTATTGCTAACAAATAAAAGTTGCACGTGCCACGTAGAGTCTCTAAAATATAGACCTAAACATATGTTTACAAAATACCTTGAAAAATCGTCCTTGAAGTTTTGCTGTCTCTTCTTCGCATGTTTCTTTCTGATGATTTGCCAGCTCAGTCTTAAAAGACAAACAAATTATATACAGAAACATATTTGCTTTTATTAAACACTAGCTGAAGTGCCCGGCGTTTCCAGTGGAATTAAAAAAATTAAAATTTCCATCTTGAAAATTTTGGCCTATGTTACCCCTGGGATACCTGTGGGATCCCTCAATATTTTGGCCTATGTTACCCCTGGGATACCTGTGGGATCCCTCAAATATATTATATCAAGGGTTTAGCCCCAAAAATCCCATGTGTATACACCCCTGTTCTCTGCGCTAAACTATATTTGACCGATTGTCATTTAGTATTCAATTTCGTACCTTTTTAACATTACTACAAGGAAAACATTTTCAGTGAGAATTTCTAAAAAATGAAAACGCCAGCAACACGTTTTAAAGGAAGACAAACAATGTAATCCATTTTCCCCTTGATTTGTTTCAAATGAGTTGAGTTTTTGCCACAAACTCTGATTTTCTAATCTCTATATCTTTGTAACCCAATGTCGTAGACTAATAATACTTATAGATAAAATAATCTAAGTTTGAAATATCAAAGGTTTGCACCCTAAGATTGCAAAGATATTGGATATTTGTGGCAAAAACTCAATTGCTTTAATCATTGGAGCTACTTTTGCTTTCATGTTTATTAAAGAGGTGGGCATCGTTCTTGTAAATGAACGACATTTTGTAAAACGAATTTTTTTTGTAAACTGGTGTTAACAATTGATGAACGAACAAATTGGATTGTTCAGAGAAATTAAAAAACTATCGTTTTATTCAATTTTTTAGATCGTTCATACGAACGAACTTTTATAAACTTCACTTTTTTTATTGAACACATGATCATTTTATTAGTGAACGAACGATCTTTTTAAACTAACTTTAAAAACAATTGTTTTTTTACTGAACGAACGATTTTTTCTAACAAAATGTTGGAATCTTTTTTAATGAACCGGCCTTGAAAAATTGGGCTATAAACAATATCAATGTGTTTTAATTGCATATTTTACTCTAAGGCCAATCTGTACAAAGATTCAGCCCCCGAAGCCTTTAAGGACCAATACAATGTTTGTATGAACACTTATTATCTTTGCGAACTGAAGTTTCCCCTTAAAACAGTATAGATGTGTAACCTGTTAGAAAAGAATAGAACATATGCCACAAGTATTATTGAGTTGGCAAGTGAATATCTATATATCTATAAATCTATAATATATCCATATATATAATTATTTATCTACAATATATCAATATATATATATATATATATATTGGATTGAATTGAAGAACTGAATGGAGAAGCTAGAGAAAGATGGTTTACACTTCATCAATATTCTCAACAAAATAATTATTTTATTTTCAAAAATTCAAACACACAAACAATACATTGATTTTATGAATACAAACATTCTCCAGTTACTTTAACCCTATCCCTGCTGGGGTACTTGAAAACCAGGATACGCTGGGGGGGTGTCAATTTGACCCCCCCCCTCTAAATCCCATGTTTTATGTCCAAATATGACAAATGATACATCATTAGAAAGCTCTTGTGCTCTACTTTTAAAATCTGCAAAAAAAATTGCAAATTTGCGAAAATTGAATTTTTTATCGCAAAATCCAGTTTTATAGTAAAAATGTTTGCAAAAAAAAATTATACATTTTTGAAAAGCCCTTGACCATGCCATTTCAAATATGCAAAAATTTTTGCAAAATTTTAAATAACCTGATTTTTAATCAAGAAAAACTAAAAATGTGCAAATCTCCTTTGACAGGTTGTTTGCAAAAAATTTTCAATTTTTTTTTCGCAAAACTTGTCCAATGTCATAGGCTTTCCAAAAAGCTAAATTTTATCAAAATCTGACAAGTGAAAGTGGGTCAAAACAAAGATTTAGTTTTTTACAGGCAAAAGCAGTCATTCAGGCAGTGTGCCTGAGGACTCAGGCAGTTAGTATTAAAGCCCGGTTTTAGGCCTAAAGGGAGGGCTTTGGGTATGTAAGAAAAGTCAGAAAATTTCAACAGCCTCAGACCAATACTAGGCCAAACTTTTCATGGATTTGAACATATTACGAGAACATTTTTGATAACTTTGATAGATGAGTTTAATCTACGTTTTTCTTTTTACCTAACCTTTGTCAATATTAAAACTGAAGCTTTTTTACCGTTTAGAAAGTATAAAAGTTGGCTAAAGAAGAGTGAATAAATTTTGTAAATATTTTAATATAGCAGGTTTTTTTTAAAATATAACTTTGAAAACAATATTCGCGACTAATTTATTTCGGAACTAAAATATTCTTCCAATGGGATTTGACAATTTAAGAAATTTTTCACGGAATTCGATTTCAAAGGGAGTGGTCGCCAAAAATGAAAGGGGGCATTGAATTGAAATCGACATTAATAGGTTCTAATATATAAATGATTAATTTTGAATTTGATTGAATTATTTAAGATCTGAGGTGGGTGTGAGAGAGAGAAAATGGCAAACTATAAAAACGTTAGCCAGGGGTGTATAGGGCCGGGGGTATACACCCCTGCACACAAATGTAAAACAAATAAGCGGAACAACAAAAAACATTGAAGGTCTGCATTCATCTTTCAACGCTGTATTAACCTGGAGAATGGAGGTTTTTTACCTAACTGGATCCAGATTTTGCTTCTGGCAGTTTTAAATATACTCTTTAATAACAAGCCTGGTTTGCTGTTATTATGTATCCTAACTCGTCGGAAAGACTTAAATTCTTTCGATTGAATCTGATTCTATGTGTAGGCATCAAGGGAGCTGAGAACTGTCAGGTTCTTTTACAACTCTCTCCAGTTTCTTGTGTTTGAACAGAACCCTGTGTGGAATAACATTGAAGTACACCCTATTTGGAAAAAAAGAAAATAAAAGTGCAGAGGTTTCTCTCCTCCTCTTCCCCCTCCCTCTTGCCAAAACAAGGAAGATGGATGCATAGAAAGTAGAATCCTGATAGGTTGTGCACCATGCACTATGATACCGGTTTATACTCTGCTGACTGCAAGGAAAAGATTGCTGTAGACGAGGCCGTATTATGAAGCACTGTGTCCGAGATGAACTTACAAGAATCAACATTTTTTTGTCGAAAATATCTACTCCTTTTCTAACCTTTCTTATTCCATTTGCCATTATTAAGGCGGAATTCTGACTCAATGAATATTCTTAGAACTTTCAAACCCTGCTTGGAGCAGTGACTGTTTTTCAACCTGCAAGAATATTGAGGAATTTGAGTTTGAAGCTAACCTTCAACAGTTGCTGAGTCAAACATTCCTGATCAGAAAACAATATTGAAAACTGTAAATTCATCTGATATCTACTCCTCACAAACAGTAGTTTTCTATTTTACTTAATTTGATATTTCTGGCGTCAAGATATCAAATTAAATAATAGTATGAATCAGAAATATATGTCAAAATGCATTTCCCCTTGTCTACCAGAGATTAGAATGCGTATAGATCTAAAAGAGAAGAACACAAAGCAGATGTAAGATCAGATAAAAAAGATACAACAAATCTATATTCAGACCTACTTCCGGTCTTCGGATTTCGACTTTTATAGCTCTGTGAAATACAAATTTACTTTTTGAAAATTTTGCAAAAATTTTTGCATATTTAAATGGCTTTTAAAAAATGTATAATTTATCATATTTCGCACACTTTTTGTTTTTACACATTTTTTGCATAATAACTTGATACAATACATATTTGAAATGTAGCAAATTTGCCAATTTTTTTACAGATTATTAAAGTATAGCCCAAGGGCTTTCCAAAACTGTATCAAATATTATAAATTTGTGTCACAAATCACAATAAGGAAAAAGAGGTGGGGGGGGGAGGTCCCTGGGACCCCTCCCAAGACTATTTTGGGTAAACCAGACGGCACCCTGAATAGGGTCAAGCGGGTCAAGCATTTAAATGTTTTTTGGTAATTTTAAGAGCTCTCCAAGCATCAAAGAAGTCTAAACCATTTAAAGATTTATTCTTACAAGTTTACTTTTATCACATACTGCAAAATTTTGTCTCTGACAGTAAATATAAGACCGCATTAATCAGTATCAATCTTTCATTATAGGAAGGTTTGAAAAATCGTCATTATTTCTTTTCTTAGAAAAAACTGTTTACAAATACTTTCAGAGCAAATCATTTTGCAGTGCTTTACACAGATATTTGTAAAGCTTCTTTAAACCAAAACATCCTTTAATATTAACCCTTTAAAGGTTGGGGCTTCTGAATCTATGCACAGCCTGAAGGTGGGGGCGTCCCTTATAGAAAAAAGTCTTAGAGTGAAAGTATGGGTTGCAATGTATGTCAATAGCCCAATTTTTCAAGGCCAACTTATTTTAATAGTTTGTTTGCTAGGCAGGTTTGGAAAAACGCAAAAAAAGATTTTTGTAAAAAATTTCTAGGTGATAGTGACAAAAATGAGTTTGCTAGGGCAAAACAACTAGAAGCGGATGTGGTGTCTCTTTAGTGTAATACAAAACGGATAAAAAATCCTAACTTTTGATTTATACTTTACCTTGAATAAAACCATGGATTGATTGAGGAAAGGATGAGCAAAGGGAGGAAAATATAACAGATTGTTCGCCCAGATATATTACAGGGTTTCATCTGGAAAATATACAGATTGTTCGTTCAGATATATTACAGGGTTTCATCTGGAAAATATACAGATTGTTCGTTCAGATATATTACAGGGTTTCATCTGGAAAATATAACAGATTGTTCTTTCAGATATATTACAGGGTTTCATCTGGAAAATGTAACAAACACTTCATCTATTTAAACAGAAAAATCTGCGAAAAATTGTGTTTCATAAATAACGATGAACGATGGCTACTTCAAAAGCAACAATTATAAGCTAAAATCGTTACCGGAAATGAAGGCGCGCAATAACAACAGTTTGAGCCAAAATAACAGCTACTTATGCAGATTTTACTGTTTAAGAATTAATGGCAGAATTTCAAGATTTTTGTAAATTTTTTTCTGACCGGAATCCTCTTCTCTAGAGTCATTTAAGTTAGCAGGACAAATTTACAGATTCACCTCATCTTGTATCTTATATGTAAGTCTTGTTAACCTGTAGTGTGTGTATATATAGGGAATGCTATGATAATATTGTTAACCTGTATATAGAGGGTTACCCACAAAGGACGACGAGACGACTGTACAGAAACTATACTGTCTGTTTCCTTATACTTATTATTCTCTGCCTTCATAAAATTTTTTTTTTGCCCGATCAATATATAAGCTCTTCTGTTAAAAGAGTGTATTCAAGGTAAAAGACTTAATATAACCTTGGCCTCGTCAGATTTAAAGAGTTTAATGTCGTCTTTACAGTCTCATCCTTTGTGAGTAACCCTTTACATATATATAGTTAACCAGTATATATATATATATTATAAGTAACCTGTATATATATAGAGAAAGCTATAAAAGGTATCCAGGCTGCTGAGAGAAGAAGGGGGTAGATGAGAAGTAGATAGTCCCTATGTGAAGGGGGGCTAGGGATACTCCCAGGGGAGTTAGGGGCAGAGGGTCAGCTACTCCCGCACCTAGAGGAGTGGGCAGGGGAACCAGGGGGTGCTAGGGAACAACCAGGAACCTTCAAAAAGTCAAAATCGTTGACCAAAATGGTCCCATATATCAAAATTAATTTTAATTAAAAAAAAATTCAAATATTCAGCAGAATTATCAATCAATTTCCCATGTAATTTTCTCTCCTAAAGGGACGTAGACGTACTTGATTCCAAAAAATACCCTTTAAAGCTTTTTATCTAAAACGTTGAAGTTGTCTCTTTTTTATTTCGGTTGTTTACTACAGGGTCCCGTGCATTTATGCAATATAAGAGAAAGAAGGAATTTTGAGAATTCAACACTTTTCCATGCAAATGCAGATATTACGCTACTGTCTCTTTTATACAGTGATAATCAGAATAAGAAGACGACATTAAAGTAATACATTAAAGCATTAAAGTGTATTTTATGTTTTTACAAAGCCTTGCTTAAAGTTACTAAATCACTTCTGAGTCTGTTAACACTTCACAATTGATTTGGTTGGTGTTCATTGGACTATTTAAAGTCGACTTTCTATTCCAGAGCTTTCTGGTTATCACTGTATAATACAAAATTGAAAAGATTGTAGATTAACAAACTAAATAATAAGATAAGTCAGATTCTTTAAATAAATTTGTTTTAATAGTTTAAGAGTTAATCTGAAAATTTGGCTCTTTTCCTTGACATCAAACATTTACAAAATATAAAATATTAAATGTGAGGCTGGAGCCAAAATAGAAATTTTTTTTCGTGGTAAGCGAGTTGAATTATTAAATGTAACTTTTTTGAAAGAAATATTGCAGCTACATCTAAATTTCAAAAACTTGTTAATCTATCAAAAATCTAGATATACATCTAGTACTTATGGTGGATAAAATACCAATTTGTGAATATATCAGATTTCTTCATGAAATATAAGATGCCCTCTCAACCCTTAGAAAATATTGAAGGAATTCTCTGGTTTCAACAATCTTTTTAAATAATAAAACGTACTCCGAGAATGGTTGAAAAAAGCTTAAATTGGCGGAAAAACAGTAAAATGCCTTGCCCATTAGGAAAATTATTTTTAAACTGATTAAAATAGGAAAATTAATTATAGTTTAAATCAACGCTAGCTACTTAATTCACATAATTCAATGTTTGTAAATTAAATAATGACAAATCTATTTTTTTTTCTCATCATGAAACACAAGGCATATTCATTTTAAGAAGAAGATTTTGACAAAAACCTTCTCTAAAACTCTAAAATACCCCACTGTGCCAAGCCCCCCCNGATATATTTTTTACAGAATTTGTATGGTAAAAGGAGGATTGATGAAATCTAAAGAAAGTTATAAAATAAAATTTTATTACTTTTGATTTCTGAAAGCTAGGGGCGTGCAATGAAACTATATGTATAAAACATATAAAACTTATAAAACAGAAAACTGACACATATGCATTTAAAGAATTTTTGTTTTGTTTTTTAAACAATATAAAATTAAACGTAATAGCTATATAAAAAAGTAACTTTTTAAAAATGGTTGAGTGTTGACTGCCCATGCTACCTGCAACTCTTTAAAGTTTTGGTATGGGGACACTGTGTTGTTGTAGTTGAACTCTGAATTGTTGTTGTGTTGTGAAGGAGAAGGTGAAGGAGGGGGGATATGAAGGGGGGACTGGAAGGGGGAAGGGGAAGGTGAAGAAGGTGCATGGTAGGTATACTCCCTCCTAATAAACAATCCAACTCAAACACGAGCATCGAATAATTTAAGCACAAAAAGTTCAATGTAAAAAAATAAATTTTCTTTCTTGCTTTTAACTATTGCTGGCAGACCACTCACTGAAAACTATAAAAAGTAAAAAAATGGAACTAAAAATGAGCTGGCTTTTCTTAAAATTGAGTCTTTGTTACAAACATGAATTTTCAAATCGCTTTGCACCAAATGTTGTAGATCTTATATATTTTAATTTAAATGTCAAATGTTTAAATCATAAAGATTGCAAAGATTTCAGTTCGTAGCAAAGACTCAATTTCTTTAATTGAAATCTTTCTCCCAGAAAATACAGATACAAAATTGTTAAACGATTTAATCTATAGTATATTGTATTTACGTATTGGCTCACATGTCCTACACACTAACCAAAAATTACTTGCCCTAGGTTCGTTAAAGGGACTGCAAAGGAAAAAAAGGGGGGTATATAGGTTAAATCTGAGAATCTCAGGCGTTGAAAGATTTTACATATAAGACTTCTATCTGATGTTCTGTCTCGTGAAATTGATATATAAAACTGTAAAATTATACGAAAATCTCTCTCTATATATATATATATATATATATATTTTAGCTTTATTACACAGATTGCACTCCTCTACCTGAATATTAACTCCAAGGGAAGGTTTCTACATGAAAAGAACGTGTGCTAGTATTTTCAAAAGAAAAAAAAATTAGATCGTCTAGATCGTCAATAAGTGACGAAATTTTAAACTATACAGAAACCGAATTTTAAAAATTCAAATCGCGTCGTTGAACCGCCAGAAACCGGTTTCAATTGAGCGCCGGCTTAAATCTGGAAACACTGAATACCATTTTAAGTGGAACCAACCATGTTTGAGCCGCGTCTCAAATTTGAGACGCTACTCAACTTCTTTAAATTCAGCCTCAGAACACTTAACGGTCTAAAATGATTTGGATGAAAAATCTTAAAATCAACAAATAGTTTCCATCCCTATAGGAATGTGTAATGTGTATCGAGTATATATACTGTATTAAAGGTATGGTTTTATAGTCATGATATAAGCCACTAGAGAGATAAACTGGATATTTAATATTATATATATATATTTAAACCCTTCCATAATATATAAAATATATATATATATATATATATAGATTTATATATATAGATACAGTGATAACCAGAATTAAATGCAAAATATGACACCAAATTGAAAAGATATAATTGATAATATTATTTTTAAGTTCGTACTACGTTACAAGAACTCCCCTCAATGAGAGTGCAGTATACTGGTTATGTAAAAAAGAAGGAAATCACGTGACCAGTATACTGCACTGCCATTGGATGAAGTTCTGGTGACGTAATGCGGAATATGATCGGTTTTGTACTTCAACTTTCGTACAAAATTACATATATATGAATTTTCGTATAAATTTGACACAGTTTATATCAATTTATCGAGACATAAACATCAAATGTCTTTAGGTATCGTTCAACGCCTACGCCTGAGATTATAAGGTTTAATCCTATACCCCCATTTATTTTTCCTTTACAGTCCCTTTGAATGCAATTCAATAAATTAGTCTTTAAAAGTTCTTGTTTGTGGTTTTCCTTTGGTATTGTGAATTCGAATACTCGGCAGGGAAGGGACAGGATTCTCTTCTATTCTCATTAATTCAAATACTTTAAGTTTAACTCTTTTTAACCGATTTTAATTTGCTCCATGTTTTCAAAAATTTCCAAAAATTAATATAAATTACAGAAAATTTCATAATTAAAACTGTTTAGTATATTTTTCTTTTTAAAATCTAGAAAATGACTACTTATAATCAACATTTCGAATATTAAACATTTTAATTAGCTTTTGTCTCTTAAATAGTATTTTTAATTTCCTGGCCATGACTGAATTCAGTCGCTGTATAGAGGCATGATTTGATCTGTGTGTTAACTGTATGGTTCTAAAATATGAAAGCAAATGTTATTTTCAAAATTAATTAAGTTTCAAACCCCAGTTTGATCCAAAGTAAAAAGTAGATAAACAAAAATAGATAAATTTCTAATCCCTTACATTTTGATAATAAAAAGTCGTATTGACCTTAGAAATGTCAAACGATGAATTTTGATAGGTATAGATAAAAGTCTAAGTCTAAAATATGTAAGGTTACACAATCAGGTTACAAAGGTATGGAATAAACAAATTATAGTTTGTGGAAAATATTCTTTTTATTTAATTAACTAATTCTGAATATAAACAGCATTATTTTCTGCAGTTTCTTCATCTGTAATTCTGAACCCTCAAACCCATTTTGCCATTGTATAAAGTAATTGAACACTTGCATCAAACTCAAAATTTTATTTTCTCTATACCTTAGCATTCAGATGTTGTAGACCTTTATCAATATATAAATATTATATTAATTTAGCTAGATATAAAGTTTAAAATATCTAAGGTCAACACCATAAGGTTCAAAAGATATAGGAATTAAATAATTTGGAAATCTGACATTGACAATTTCTTAACTGGAGTCAATATATGCCTGGATTAAACAGGTCAAAGTAGAGAACTTTTGATTTGTTGTATAGTTGTATAGTTGTATAGTTGTATAGTTGTATAGTTGTATAGTTGTATAGTTGTATAGTTGTATAGTTAGTTGTATATTTCTAAAATATTGAATATATTATCTCCTAACAACACAAAAAGTTTAAACTACATTAAATCTGGGAAAACTGGGGGGAAAGGAAAGAGCCAAATTTTATTCAGCTTTTGTGAAACTTTCTTTACAATATTTATAAAACTTCTCGATAAATATTTTCGTTTATTAAAGGCTTTTTGTTGCACAAGTAAACAGATAAAAATGTTCAACGGAACTGATTACTGCATATTTATAAATCCAGAATCTAGATGTTGTAGACCTTTGATATATGTCAAACTATAAATACTGCTTAATCAAACAGTTAACGTACAAATATCAAGGTTTACACAGAATTAGAAAAATTAAGTTTGAGCCGAAATTTTAAGTTTTTAAAAAGAAGCTTCGAAGCTTTAGAAGAAAAATAGATATTTTAATTGAGTTAATTTTAAAACAACACCTATTTGTTTAAAACGAATAAGAATAATCTCTTTGAAAGTTTGAAGTTTAGACATCTCAGATTCAGTATTTAGACGTGTAATATTTATCATATTTTTTCTTAACATTTTTTTTTAAATGCAACATAACCCATTTAATTACTAGAAATGCAACTCAAGGTATTTAAATTTTCCGATTTGATTTTAACTGTCTTCATTTTGTTCTTTTCATTATTGAATATTGTGAAACAGTTTTAGCAAAATATTGAATATGGTAAAAAAGATTTAGCAAAATATTGAATATTGTGAAAAAGTTTAAGCAAAATATTGAGTATTGTGAAAAAGATTTAGCAAAATATTGAATATTGTGAAACGGTTTCAGCAAAATATTAAATATTGTGAAACAGTTTTAGCAAAATATTGAATATTGTGAAAAAGTTTAAGCAAAATATTGAGTATTGTGAAAAAGATTTAGCAAAATATTAAATATTGTGAAACGGTTTCAGTAAAATATTCAATATTGCGAAACAGTTTTAGCAAAATATTGAATACTAGAAATTCAAGGCGCTTCGTGCCCTTCTTTCTAGCCTTAGAGGGCGCTTCGCGCCCATCTCCTAAATTAATTGTGAACATGTTCTCTTTGTGTACATCGCAAAACAAAACAAAAATAATTAACGGATTTTCACAAAAAATTTCGCGGATTTTCAAAATTTTCAAAAATTTAATGACGATCGAATTTTGATGGAGACAAATATTTAACATTTCAATCATTCATAAACCTTCCCTGGGGTCCCTAGATGTCCCTCAAAAAATTTGGGCCCGATCGGTTCAGCCGTTTTGACGTTTATTGGATACAAACAGACAGACACCCAGACAGACAGACAAGCCAAATTTATATATTGTGAAATGGTTGAAGCAAAATATTCAATATTGTGAAAAAGATTTAGCAAAATATTGAATATTGTGCAACAGTTTTAACAAAATATTGAATATTGTGAAAAGATTTGGCAAAATATTAAATATTGTGAAACAGTTCTAGCAAAATATTGAATATTGTGAAAAAGATTTCGCAAAATATTGAATATTACGCAACAGTTTTAGCAAGATATTGAATATTGTGAAAAAGTTTTAGCAAAATATTGAATATTGTGAAACAGTTTTAGCAAAATATTGAATATTGTGAAACAGTTTTAGCAAAATATTAAATATTATGAAACAGTTTTAACAAAATATTGAATATTGAGATCCAAATGAAAATAGTTGAGTAATGGTGTCATGATTGATTTTTGACGGATGTTTTCGCATTTACGCCTGAAAACATTATTGCAATACAATTATATTGAATTTGTCAATTCAACCATGAAAGGGAGATATAATATCCCAAGACATAATTATCCATAAATGCCATAACAAATCCCAAAATTGTCATGTCTATACCTTATTTGCTTGTTAATGAATTGAGTCTTTGTCTTAAACTCAAGTTTTCTAATCCCTAAATCTTTGCAACCTAATGGTCTACACCTTGTGAGTTTGTGAGAAAGACTTAGGTAATTTCCAAGCAAATGCGCCAAAGTTCGTTGATCGGTTGGCTCAGTTCCAATATTGAATAGATTGCTTAGTTATTTTATTCATCAGTACATTGATGTGAAGCTAACCTATTTTTTTTTACCAGATTAAAGATTTATCTGGACTGTAAAATGATCAATAAAATATAAATGAATGAAATGAATGTTACCTAACATGACGATGTGCTATAACGTAAACGTAGAGATGAAACACAAATGTTAGAACTAGAAGTGTACTCTGTACTGTAGTTAGAACAGGAGAGACGGGAACAGGATCAAGCATCCAGTCTAGACGGGTATCAGGAGAAAAATAAAGCTCCGGACCCGATGAGTTGTTCCCTCGGACTTGAAGGTGACTGCTGCTCTGGGACATGTAAGCAGCATGCCCCAGACTGACGGGTAAATACACTGGTTGAGTAAGGTTAGGGGAGTTAGGGTTGTATTCAGGAGCTCCGGGTGAATCTACCAGCTTGGTCAGGTTTAAGGAGTTAAAGGAATTTCTAGAGCAGGGATAGGAGCTGAGTAGGGTTAGGCAGGAGGTAAAGAAGGAAATAATCCAGATAAGGATACTGGCTTTCAAGGAGTTAGATTCTAGTATACATAGTACATACATACAGCTGACACAATTAATTAGTTTGAAATGTAAATACCTCACTACAAAGTAAAATATTTTATATTTACAATCTGACTAAGAAGTTAATTCAAATTTAGATATGAAATAAGAAAAAAAGCGGGAACAAGAAAGCAGAAGCTTCATGCAATTTTGCCATCAAGGGATGTATAAAATCAATGGTCTGGACTCTGGACAGACAACACTTCAAAATCAGCCTGGTCTAATTGTATGGTGAACAATTTTCATTAAAGCTTTTCCCAATAAAAAAGAGTTCTCTGTACGTGTTTCTGAATATTTCTTAAAACTAATAAATTCCAAATCTAATTTCTAATCTTGTTAAAGGAGTTTAAGTCTCCATAAGGAGCCAAATATGGTCTCTGCCAAGAAATAAAATAGGTTTTATGACTGGTTAATGTTCCTAATTATCATTATTTTTATACATCTGGGTTCAATAAAACTTGTTTATCTCTTTTCTCTGAAATCCTCGTATTTTCAAGGTAAAAGCTTGATCTGAGAGGAAGGAATGGCAAGCCTTTGTTCGAGCCTCATTTTCCTCAATCTTGCGTCTGAGCTACTTTCAACTTTCGTCCTGTTAATCAAAGATAAAACTTAAGTGTGTAACCGTAATTTTAACCAAAAGGAATTTTTGCCACAAACTGGGATTTAAAAATCTCTATATCTTTGAATCCCGATGTCGTACACCTTTGACATTTAAAACTTAAAATTATGTTTAAAAAATTGTCTAACTTTGAAATATATCAGGTTTACACCATCAGGTTTCAAAGATAGGATTAGAGAATTTGAGCTTGTGGCAAAAACCTCAAATTTCTTTATGATGTACAATGTGACTTGCAGTGCAGGATATGTAAGAAGTCTTAAATTATTTAAGAAATATTTCTTCGCTTTTCAAAGAAAACGGACAAGAATTGAGTCTTTGCCACAAACTCCAATGTTTACCACGTGATGGTGAAAACCTTTGATATTTCAAACTTAAATTAAAGAAATTTAGTTTCAATAAATAGCGTTTGAGGCATTTCCTTTCGGGAGCCATGACTTGATATGCTTCAGAAAGATCGATAAAATGTGGCTAAAACCCAACATCCCCTCATCAGCAACCCCCTTCCCTTCTTTCTCTCTTCCTCCCCCCTTTTTTCTCCATCCTTGTTTCCATGTAAATAATCCTATTATAAAACTTGTTAAGCCATATAAAATCATCATTCATTTGAAATGTTTAGGCATAAAAGAGAGCAGTTGTACTTATAGTTCACTTTATTAGGATGCTTTTAAAAATTGGATCCAATAAAACTTTTCGGAATTTTTTACTTAGACTTATCATTTTCACATTAAATTTTCAATAAACTATTTTTTAAATATTATCAAAGGACAAAAAATGTAAAAAATTTGAAATTGCTTGCAAAATGTTTTTATTCTATTTTCTAGATTTCATTTTTTTCCGAAAATCTTATTCCAAGCAAATGATTGAGATATCCTTGTTTTTTCAAGTGGAAATATTCAATAATGGTTCATCCTGCGTTTTTTTAATTGGGGCCAAGGAAGAAAATTGTCAGATTTATTATTTTTTTTAGATTAAAAAACGACGATATCTTTAAGAATCGTGCTTGTTGTTACTCCTAAAAATAAAAACGGAGAGTCCCTTAAATTCTATTAACAGTCCCTTTTAATTACAAGCTTAAGTAATTGAGTCATTGTCACAAACTCAAATTTTCTAATACTTTTTTCTAAACCTTTAGTGAAAACCTTTGATGTTTCAAACTTTTATTATTTGAGCTAACATAATTCAAGGTTTAAAATATCTAACGTATACAACATTGGGTAGCAAAGATCTAGGTATTAGAAAATCAAAGTTTGTGGCAAAAACTCAATTCCCTTGATAATTAAGTTAAAAAATGAATTATTTGTAATCTTAATATTATGTTGCTGTATGTTCCTGTGACTATTGAAGAGTAGATGAAAGGCCAGGCCAAGGAAATGGTTTTATCTGTTGCGAGGAAAGCCGAACAGAACAGACTGGTCAGACTACAGGTTAAACAGCTGATCATCAGTGGAACAATAACAGACCTGCCCGGGGTATATAGGGTTAATCATAAACATTTTCTTATCTATTCAAGCTAGAAGAAACCAATACGGGTTAAAGAATGTCCATAAAAATCATAAATTCTTACGATTTTTTTTAAAAGCCTCAATCCTGAGCCAGAACTATTCTTGCTTTAGTTGAATTTATTTCGAATTCTGAATTACTAAATATCTTGTTCTTTTTTCTTTTTTCTTTTATTTTTTTGTTTGCCTTTCATAAGCTTAATCTTGGTATCAGGTATATAAATGGAAATCTCAAAGTTGAAAAGTAAAAAGAAAACTAACTCTTTCTTCAACTTTGTATTTTGCTCCAAATGCCCCCCTGGACGCCCAAGGCCCACATCCCCGGAGCAAATTTTTCCATTATTCTATAAAACTGTGGATTGTAAAGACGACTGTCTGAATTGAATTATGATTTTAATTAGTGCAATCATCATGAAACACAGAAATTGTGCAATGTGCAGTTTACATTGCACACAAACTCATTATATTCAAACTCTGGAATTAATGATGATCCAAACCTTAAAGATTAAAGAAACTAAGTTTAAGTTTCATTTGTGAAAAAAGGAAATGAGTTTTTGTCACAAACTCAGATTTGTTAAACCCAATATCTCTGTAACTGGATAGTGTAAAACTTTGATATTTCAAACTCAAATTATTTGATCTACCAGAATTCATAGTTTGAAATAATTAAGGTCTACGACATTGGCTTGCAAAGTTATAACGATAGGAAAATTTTAGTTTGTGGCAAAGTCTTAATTCCTTTATTTTAGTCCGAATTGACTCTTTTCAATTTTAACGATAATATTCTACCATCAAAATCAATGAATGAAAAATAAAAAAGTTGATTATGAGTCATGCCCAGAAAATAAACAAAACTCTTCTATAGAAAATGTTGTTAAAGGAAAATTGAGGAATCGAACTCAAATCATGAGAAATAAAAAGATAATTTTCAAATGTTCATGTTTAAAAGAACGTTCAAAAACAATTAAAATTCCTTGAGTTTTGTTTTTTGTCATAGAAATTCAAAACAAACTGTTTGAATATTTGAGTTGAAAGTGTGGGATGAGGATCAAATTATCTTTTTTATTTGACTAGTTTTTTTTGGGCCTTCCCGAAGTTCAACAAGAATACAGCATAAATAGAAAAATGAATGATAACTCTACTCAATTTATTATTCAACAAAAAAACAGATAAACAATCCTCAGTGAGGTTTGTTCTAACTCTATATTTTCCTTGTATTTGTAAGAAGAAGAACTCCGATTACAACGGGTACAAAAATGCAGTACAACGTGTCTGCTATACACAGAGATCTGTGCAGTGACTGTACAGGACCAGGGCTAAACATAGTACATATGTATTATGTAATGTTTACCTGTACATATCTATCATGTTCATGCACTAGCTAAAAACGAAACTTAAACAAAATAAATAAATAGTAAATTGATTTTGAGTAAAGATCTTTTTCGTTTGTCTATATAGAATGAATGAACAATATTAGAATTTAAATCGATGTTTTCGTCATTATTGTAAAGAGAACTTAATATTAATGCATCCTCGACAGACCACAAAATAAAAATACTATGTCAACTGTGAACAACTAGAAACTATATTAGGGTCTATGGAGAACGGTTTATATCAGATTCTCTGAAAGATAATCTGATATGAGTTAGAGGTGATGATCGATGGTTAATTTAATTATGTAGAGTTTAATCAACTTTACTGTTTCATTTAAAGTAACTGTCCCTTTAAGTTCTTTATTATATAGTGCTGTTTCCCTATTATTTGATTATATTGTGACCGGCTATGTAAGGTAGTTGACCGGCTATGTAAGGTAGTTGAGCTGAGTATGCAGTGTTGTTTAAATAGAGTTTTATGCTCGGAACTTTGACTTTCTTAAAGAAACTTAGTTTAAAAGTTAAAGTTTTGACTTCTGTAAGACATCTTAGTTGAAACTTGTGACAAATACGTCTTGTTTGTTTGGACAATTATATAAGCTCAAACCGCAGTTTTGAAGCCTAACCCGACAATATTAAAGCTCAACCGGACAATATTAAAGCTCAACCCGACAATATTAAAGCTCAACCCGACAATTGTGTGTCCTCCTTGTTTTTTTTTTGTTTAACCTTTTTAACTGCAAGGTTACCCACAAAGAATGAGACTTCAATGACGACCAAAATCTCTTTAAATATAATAAATTGTATGTTGAACTTTATCTATTGTCTTAAATAAAGTATTTGACAAAGAAAAAAAGCAAGTTTAAAAACAAATCAGCAAAGGAATTGAGTTTTTGCAACGAACTCTGAATTTTAAATCCCTATATATTAACAACCCAATGGTGTAGACCTTAGATATTTCAAACTATGACTTCTGTTATATGAAACAATATAAGTTTGAAATATCAAAGGTTTACATCATTTGGTTGTAGAGATATAGTTATTAGAAAATTGGGATTTGTGGCAAAGACTCAATTCCTTTTGTAAAGTCTTCTAGCTTTGAAGTTTCATCCTCTGTTAACAACCCTGGATGTAAAATAGTCAATTACAAATTACCTTCGTCGCTTGGCTCCAGAAAAGCATTGAAAAGTGTTCTAAATCATGTTATTGATTAGTCATTAAGAGTTTCAATAATTTCTTCAATTGCCAATATATTTTCATAATTTTAACTTAATATTAGTAATAAAATCTCATACCTTTTCAATAAAAGGGAAAGTGGGATCAGTGGGATTCTTTAAATGATTAAACATTTCAATATTTACGTTTATGTTCCAATTGAACAAACAAATCTTTCTTCACCAACTTGCAGAATTCAGACAGATAAAAAAAATAATCTAATACAGAAATACAAAAGAGATTTGAACAAAACGGACTAAACTATTAAAATTTCTACATAAGTCCGTCCAGGACAAATGAAAAAAGTAATGTTTAAAATTTCTTGAAATTTACCGCCTTAATTTTACCGAAATGTTTAAACTTTTTAGAAAACTGTGAATAATTAATTTGATCCAATCTTAAGTTTCAGTTTAAAATGTTAAACTTTGTAAATGGTTGAATCGAAAACAATGTAAACAATTTAAACAGACAATCGGAAATTTAGCTTTCAAAGAAACTGATAACTCGACACAAACTCTAATTTCCAAAACTCTTTTTTTGCAACCTGATGTCCCTCCCTAGACCTTCAATACATCAATCAATGATTCTGAGAAATCAATGAGTCGATGTTTTAAATATTCAAGGTGCACACAAGAAGTACAGGGGTGTTTCAACCAACATGAAAATCTAGTGACGACATCGTAAATTTGACCTGCTTTGTTGTTCATTTTCAAATCCTTTTGTAATATTTGTATTTTAGGGTCCCTTTATTTGTAGGATCCCCTAGAATCCCTTTAATTGTAGGGTCACCTAGAATCCCTTTAATCGTAGGGTCACCTAGAATCCCTTTAATTGTAGGGCCACTTAGAATCCCTTTAATTGTTGGGTCACCTAGAATCCCATTAATTGTAGGGTCACTTAGAATCCCTTTAATTGTAGGATCCCCTAGAATCCCTTTAATTGTAGGGTCACATAGAATCCCTTTAATTGTAGGGTCACCTAGAATCCCTTTAATTGTAGGGTCACCTAGAATCCCTTTAATTTTAGGGTAACTTAGAATCCCTTTAATTGTAGGATCCCCTAGAATCCCTTTAATTGTAGGATCCCCTAGAATTCCTTTAATTGTAGGATGACCTAGAAATCCTTTAATTGTAGGATCACAAAATTAGTCTTTCCTTGTTTCCATTTGTCGAGTGGAAATAAGATCTAAAGGAGGAAAATGTTTTACTCTCGACTTTGTTATTGTTTATATTTAAAGTTGTATCTGAGCAGTACAGAGCTTTTAAACTAATTATTCTTCTTGGTTTCCTACAGGGGGAAGGAGGGGGGGGGAGGTATTAGCAAAGGGCATATATGAGTAGTAGAAGGGAAGAGGAGAGGGGCACTAGCAGTGCAGGTATAGGTAGTAGAAGGGGAGAGAAGGGAGTAATTGGTAAAGGTAGTAGAAGGGGAGAGAAGGGAGTAGTTTGTAAAGGTAGTAGAGGGGGAGAGAAGGGAGGAGTTGGTAAAGGTTGTAGAAGGGGAGAGAAGGGAGGAGTTGGTAAAGGTAGTAGGGGGGAAGGCAAGAGGCAAGGGAAATTTCACGACAATTTCACTGATTTTACACATTCTTTTCTAAATTTTTAAAATTTTATTTTAAAAAAAATTCAAATGCGCTTTTAAATTTTTACTTGCCCTTAGCTTTTTCTTGGTGCATGCTAGGCCGTTTTGGGGTTTATTGGGCACAAACACAAAAAACAGACAAGCAGAATGAGCATCTTTCTTTTATATAGAAAAACTCTGCCTAAGTACACAGAGCAGATATTGAACACAAGTTACAAAAGATGGGACTGTTAATTAAGACTCAGCACACACTAAAAATGGAAAAAAAACTATATTTAAAAAACATTCCGAAACAAATATTCAACCTGTAACAAAAAATGGAAAAAGGAATTGAGTCTTTAAACTCTGATTTTTTAATTCCTTAATATCTGCAACACTAGGTAGAAGTCCTTAAATATTTCTAACCATGAATTTTATAAGATCAAAAATTTTAAGTTTGAAATAAAAAAAGTTGCAAAAATATTTACATCAAAGAATTTAAGTGAGCGGCTAAGACTCAATTTCTTTGCTTCAAGCTGTAAACTCAATGTTTTAAACTTAAACATAAAATGTATTAAAATTCTTGTCTCATTGATGCATTTCTGAAATGTCAGTTCTATTTCCAATTCATTCAATTTATCCAACAAACATCTTAGCGAATTTTCCTATTTCTCGTAACAGCATGCAGAGTCACAATTGTTTTCCTATTTCTCGTAACAGCATGCAGAGTCACAATAGTTTTCCTATTTCTCGTAACAGCATGCAGAGTCACAATTGTTTTCCTATTTCTCGTAACAGCATGCAGAGTCACAATTGATTTCCCATTTCTCGTAACAGCATGCAGAGTCACAATTGTTTTGTTTCGGACAATGTTCAGAGACAACTATCTCTGAGTGGACCTGCTGAAAATGGACTATCAGGTTTTAAGAAAAACCGTCAAATTAGTTTTGGAAATCTCTCTCAATTTTCAAAAATACAGGGTTACCAACAAAACAGAGACTGCAAAGACGACTGTACGGAATTTACATTGTCTTTTTTCCTATGTTTTTGATTCCTTGCATCTGCAAACTTGTTTCTTTATTTACCCAATCATAAAAAATTCCACAAAATTTTTTTTCACAGACAAAAGACTTATTTAAATATTGTAATCGTCATAATTAAAGAGTTTTAGGTTCTTTTCCTAGTCTCATCCTTTCTGGGTAACCTTGTACTGATTAGAAATCTAGTGATTTTAGTGAACTTAAATTATTTAAAGTTAACGATATAAAGAAATTATGGGTATATTCAAGATAAACTACTTTTGGAAGGTTTTAAGAGAAAGGGGTTTTGTGAGACTAAGGATGAAAAACTTTTGAAGGTTTAGAAAAGTGGGTTTTGTGATATTATATGAAAGATTGTGAAAGTTTTTGAAGAGATTATGAAGGATCTGGGAATGGTTAAAAATGATTTTGTGAATTTAGATATTTATATATGATTTTATAGGGTTTTGGAAAACAGGGTTGTAAGACAATATTTAACAATCGTTACGTCAATGATAGTTTAAGGATTTAAGCAGAATTGCTGAGGCATTTTTATTAAAAATAGTTGAAGAATTGTTGAAAACTATTATTTCCAAAATAGTCTTTTCTAAAATTCTTCTATCAATGTTGTACAATGTACATGTAAACTGTGTTATACATACAATGCTTATTTATGGACTGTTTTATTTAGTTAATTTTATTTTGAATAGAATTTTTTTCACTTCTGAAGTTCTTAAGGGTAATCTCAGACTAGAATATTATTTTGTCTAAATATTTTAAAGTTTGGTTACGTATATTAGAATTTTTGACAGATACAAAGATCTCACAATCAATACAATTAAAATTATCCAAGCAGTGATATTGAATCCATTCCAATTCAGTTTTGTTTAAAGCATTTGATTCATAGGATTTGTTTCGAAAATTGTTCTACAAATTCAAAAGATCACATTTCTTTAAGGAATTGAGTCTTTGTCTCAAACTCTGATTTTTTAAATCCCTAAATCTTTGAAACCCATTGCCATGAATTTCAAACTATACATCCAGTTAGATAAAATAATCTAATATTGAAATAATCAATGGCTTACATGAGGATTCGAAAATTTTGAGTTTGTGCTTAAGACTTAAAGACATTAACTCAAAAGAAAGAATATTTATAAATTCTGATGAAAAAGTTCAATTGTTTTTGACTTGAACCTAGATGGTCCATTTTAAGCAGCTCCAGGTGGACAGAAAAACTTTCAAACAAAAGTTTATATCTGGCCATGTTTAGGCGAATTAATTTTTTTTTGTATAATTCAACTCACAAATACTGTTATTATTCTGTTTTCTTTTTTCCACTTCCATTTCCATCTCCCCACCACCACACCTCCCCCCCACCTCCCTCTCCCCCTTAATTCATGAAGTTTAATATTAGTTTTACTCTTGTTGTTTTGGTCAAGTTTATAACAAACTAAAATATTAAAGTTATAATTGATGATAAATACTTTTTTGTTTAGCTGTTTTTCAATAATATTTCCTGTATGAGTGTAAGACTAGAGAGTGAAATTCCAAGTCCTTGTTTAAATAAAGATATTCATAATTTAGATAATTATTTTATTTTAAGAACAAACTTTATCAATAAACAAAAATGGAGGTCTTACAGACACTATCCTAAATATTAATCAACCCAATAAATACTAACTCTGAATAAAAGGTAAAGAACAGACGACTATAAAGCAAAGCCTTCAATTATTCCACCACCACACTTCAGACTAACCAGGAGGCAAAGGTCAAATTCGATTGCCATTACTGTTGTGACTTTGTGACTCCGTTGCTCATCTAAGTTCTGATTTTACGAAACTGCAGTGTAAGAAAAGCAAATTCGGTTACATTTTATAAACTCGGTTATATTTTATAAATTCGGTTACATTTTATGAATTCGGTTATATTTTATAAATTCGGTTATATTTTATAAATTCGGTTATATTTTATAAATTCGGTTATATTTTATAAATTCGGTTACATTTTATAAATTCAAAACATCTTTGTTCTTCTCAATAGCTCTTCAATAAGAGTTATATGATAAAAAACATATAAGATATCAATCGGTTCATTTTACTATATAGTTTAATAAATAACTTGTTTGTAGTTTATTATTATTTATGTATTCATTATGTGTGGTCTCTTTATATAAGAATAATATGCAAACAGAATATAAATTTTAACCTCGCTCCTTCACAATATATTTAGAAGAATAATTTAATATTCTAGGGTGGGCCCATTAGCTTGGGGTATCCAAATTGTTAATATTGTCATTATTCAACATTTTTATTAATCCTATTTTCATTGGTTAAAGCTGTGAGAAGTTTGAAAAAACGGAAGTTAGAGACAAAATCAATAGTAGAATGTTAGTGTTAAGATTTTATCAATTGTTTTATTTTTGGAGTTCATAGTCTGCTGAAGCTGAGGAAGCTTACACCATCTAATATAGGGTGGAAGGGCAGCTACATTAATTCTTTGTTTGAGCCCGCATATTCTCCCTACATTCTCATCCGAGTCACCTTTGGTAGCTCGTCTTTGCAATACCATCTTTTTTAACTTTCGAATTTGTAATGTATTGAATTTTTGTAAGTCTTAAAAACAATTTTGGTTTAATTAAAATTTTCCAGGTTTTTGTCCTAGAAATTGTTCTTTTTAAAGGTTTGTTTAGATACGTTTAGCAAAGATTTCCGTGAAAACTTTGTGTATTTCATCAGGATTGAATTTTTGATTTGTGAAAACTAAAGATTTCAGCATTTTTAAAGAACAATTTTAAGGGATACACATTTGGATGTGGTTTGGATGAAAAATTGTTGTGGCTGGCCTTCCAGCCCTCATCTAACGGTTGGTAAAACAAAACTAAAGCTAAGTTTAAAACTTTTCATATTTCAGGTCAGATGATTTTTCCTTCAAAATCAATTTTCAATATTTTCAAATAATTTTCCGCATCATTTTGATGAAAGCAGGGGTAGGATTTTAAAATGAAAATTTTGAAATTTAACCAAGGTTTGACGACGTGCCAGACATTCTAAAACTTTTGTTATGTTCTTCGTCGTCGTTATTATATAATTTAAAAAAAAACGATTCTTGAGAGAAAGACTCCAGAGATGGAATTTAAAGAATTTGAGCCGCGGTTTAAATCTGCCAAAACCCGGTTTAAATTAAGCGCCGGCTTAAATCTTGAAACATTTGACACTATTTTCAGTGGAGCCAACCATATTTAAACCGCGACTTAAATTTAAACCGCCGCTCAAATTCTTTAAATTCGGCCACAGGAGAATTTTTGATAATCGAATTTGCGCTATTACTCAGCAAATAACCGTAAAATGAATTGAGAATCCTTTTAATCTCGTTAGATATCGCTGACAATCTCTTAAAATATCGTTGACAATTCCTTTGATTATTGTTCACAATTCCTTTAAATATTAAAAAGATTTATGAACGAATTGTGTTTAGAATATCTTTAGTTTCCTAGTAGTGTCCAATCCTCGGTCTTTGGATCCATACTTATACCCTGCAATAAAGATATATACTTATATATACTTATACCCTGCAATATGAATATATACTTATACCGTGCAATATATATATATTCTTATATAAACTTATACCCTGCAATATATATACTTATATATACTTATACCCTGCAATATATATATACACATATATACTTATACCCTGCAATATATATATATATATACTTATATATACTTATACCCTGCAATATGAATATATACTTAAATATACTTATACCCTGCAATATATATATATTCTTATATAAACTTACACCCTGCAATATATATACTTATATATACTTATACCCTGCAATATATATATATACTTATATAAACTTATACCCTGCAATATGAATATATACTTAAATATACTTATACCCTGCAATATATATATATATTCTTATATAAACTTATACCCTGCAATATATATACTTATAAAAACTTATACCCTGCAATATATATATTCTTATATAAACTTATACCCTGCAATATATATACTTATATATACTTATACCCAGCAATTTATATATACTTATATATACTTATACCCTGCAATATATATTCTTATATAAACTTATACCCTGCAATATATATATACTTATACCCTCCAATATATATATATTCTTATATATACTTATACCCTGCAATATATATATACTTATATATACTTATACCCTGCAATATATATATTCTCATATATACTTATACCCTGCAATATATATATACGTATACCCTGCAATATATATATACTTATATATACTTATACCCTGCAATATATATATACTTATATATACTTATACCCTGCAATATATATATACGTATACCCTGCAATATATATATACTTATATATACTTATACCCTGCATATACCCTGCAATATATATATACTTATATATACTTATACCCTGCAATATATATATACTTATATATACTTATACCCTGCAATATATATGTAGTCTTTATTAGACATTTACATCTTTATATAATCAAAATAATTTTCAAGATATTCTTGTTTCTTCTGGCTTGAAAAGTGTTTAATTCTTATAATTTCCTCTCATTGTGTCTTTAGAAGAAATGCACAAGTCACTTATAAGAAAATAATTATTTTTTATCATGGATATCTTACTCAGGGTACTGAAGTAAATAGGATAAACTTCTCTTCTTTTAAAATGACTACAATCGATCCATTTACATGGTTAATAATTGCTAAATAATTGCTTAATAAAATCATGATTTTGTTTCCACATTTTCTGAACATTTATTCTAAAATTTTAATTTAATACTGGGTATAAATTTTTTTACCTGTGAAACCTAGATTTTCTTCTGGTCAAATTTAATCATAATTCTTTCTGAAAAATGGATTTTCAAACTTATCTCTGATCAATATTACTGACAGAGTTTTGAGATCCATTTTGGCTAATTCCATTACCACTCAGCTTCTTGGGAGAGGGGGGGGGGGGCCGGGGGGACATTATTAAAAAAGAAAATCGGGATTTCGAAACAAATTAAATAGAAAAAGATTTTCTGCAGATTATCTTCATCAGTTGACATAAACAGGATTTTAAAAATTGAATCTTTTTAAAATCACATACTTGACTTCTTTAATTTGAATTTTCTTGGTAAATCTTTTAAAATCTGATATCTTATTCATTGACTAGACAAAGACGACTTATGAAGTCATACACGGTCTCACACTAAAACGGAGCCAGTTTAACAGACAAAAATTTGAGTTTTTTTTAAATTTATATAATCATATACATATGTAGATTTATATTTACAGAGATAAGAAGTAAATGATTAAATATTACTCATAATTTAACGCTTACCTATCTCACATTTATTGAAGGTTTAATTCAAATTTTTGTTAAAATATTTTAACAAGTTTCATTTGTTCGAAAAACAACGCAGTATTTAGAGTGATAATCAAATTTGCTTAAAAGTGAATGAAAAATTTATTTGTGAATAATATTATAATTTTTACAATTAAACTTTTTTCATGGAGTTTTAGTTAAAAGCATTCTTCAAAGAAATTAATATCAAAGATTTTAACTTTTTATGCTTGATCATTTTTTACGTCAACGAATTTTCATGTTAATCTTAATTTGCACATTCACCTTTGTCCATCTTAAAACGTGTTAAGTTCTTTTACTCCTTGATCATTAATTCATAAGTCACTCGTATTAAAAACCATTGTTGAAAAATATCAATTTTCAGACAGAGAAATAAGATTTTTCCTAAGAAAGTGTTACTAATGCAAATCGCGCAAACCCCTCATAAAATGATCAATCTTTCTGCTGTATTTCCTTCCATTACTAACGAGTAAACTGGTAAGTTAGAAACAGCTGTATTTCCTTCCTTCAATAACAAGTAAACAAGTTGGAAACAGCTGTATATCCTTCCTTCAATAACAAGTAAACAAGTTAGAAACAGCTGTATTTCCTTCCTTCAAAAACAAGTAAACAAGTTAGAAACAGCTGTATTTCCTTCCTTCAATAACAAGTAAACTGGTAAGTTAGAAACAGCTCCAAGAAAATCTTTTCATTTGCTCTATAATACATCCAAACCTATGGAATTCAATTCAAAGATAACTAAAAGAAATGTCAATTGAGACGTTTTACAGATAACTAGAAACAATGGAATAGAAAGACGACAATATAGCTTTAAATGATTGTATTTGTTGTTGTTATAAAACAAATAGGTCCGTTAAAACACTGCAATACTGCTGTGTCTCATGCTTATTGGACTTCCGGATTCGGATTTTTCTGGTTTTCAATGTATAAACAGCTAAATATGTACATTGTACTTCGTTTTCAATCTGTTGTATATTAATTTAAATATTGTATTCGGCGATAAATATTTTTTACGCACTTTGATTGAAAAGGCCGAGCTTTGATTGAAAAGGCCGAGCTTTGATTATAAATTAAATAATTTTCTATAGATTTCCATTTAATTCAATGCCCCGCCCCCCTCTCCCAATTTTTTTTAGCAAGAACTCCCCCTTTACAATAGTTTTATAGAAAACTATTGCAAAATTCAAACTTGTTTTAATCCTCTGTTTTAAAACAATTCTCCTGAAAGTCCGATTTCTAGTGAAATTTATTTCGTGAGCTGATAGTCTATTTATCAGACTGCAATTCCAAATCAAGGAAAATTGGAAATTCTGATAGATATATGGGGAGGGGAGATCTAACCCGTCCACGCCTAAGAGATGTGTGCAAAAATTGTCCCCTTCCTGTACACCCTGCACACGTCCTAAACATCCTGTACACCCTGTACACGCCCAAATCATCATGTACACCATGTACAGTGTACATCCTGTACACCCTGAACATCCTGTACACCCTGTGCATCCAGTTAACCCTGTACATCCCTTACACCCTGTACATCCTGTACACCCTGTTGTACAGGAGATTGAGCTAGAGAAGTTCTAATTTACTAAACTTTAATAGACTACCCAGGGTCAGGGCAAGAGACAATAACTTAAAATAGGTTTCATTGATGTATCAAGGCATTTTTAAAGATTACAATATCTTTGTTTAGAAATATTTCCTTATTATCTTATATTTGCTGTTTCTTGAAATCAAATCTAGACAAATGTGAAGACCCCGAAAAGAAAAAAGAGAGATATCCTCTTAAATCCAGACAATATCTGATAGACCTGAGATGGAATTTAAAGAATTTGAGCCGCGGTTTAAATCTGCCAAAACCCGGTTTAAATTAAGCGCCGGCTTAAATCTTGAAACATTTGATACAAGTGGAACCAACCATATTTAAGCCGCGGCTTAAATTCGGCCACTGAGTAAATACACTGTTATAAAAACATTACTAATTAATCATACACCTACACTTTATACTTCATATACAGAGAGTCCTCACATCATATTGTATTATTTCAAGCTTTAGCGTCGTAATACGCATATAATACAATACATAATACTTTGTTTTTTCTGCATGCAAATCTTTACAGTAGCCTGTTTCAAAATGATAAATTCTTTTTAAATTTTCTGAAAATCGTAATAAAGAGCAATTTACGATCCAACAGCTGTGGGACCCAGCCTGTACTTACTATATTGGGATTATGATGTCCCAGGGGAAAGATTAAAGGATATTGATGGCTTTTTAGACTTTAGTAAAATATAATGATTATTTTTTTTCATAAGCATTTTTGAAAAACCAAGACCTTATATTGGATGGACTAAAATTGATTTCTGAGTTGATTGGGATAAATACTATATACATATTATATTATACATTAAAATAGTGGAAAAATAAAGAAATAGATCATTTTCAATTGAAATTATAAATGTGAGTTTTGTTTTGGTGAGGGGGATATTGGCAGTGCTATAATGTCAGATTTATGTCTAAGACAAATTCAAAGTCACGATCATAATTTGGTCACATTCGTTTGGCTCTTATATGCTCTAGGCAAATCCTAAGTCAATATTTAAGCCAAAGTCATACTTTTGATACCAAATTATGTCTGAGACACTTTTTAAGTCACAACTTTGTCTAAGACAAACTGATTAAAGACAAACTCATAAGACATAATCGTGTCAAAGACACATTTCTAAGTCACAACTTTAAGACCCATTCAAAGTCACAATTCTAACTAAAACACATGTCTAAAAAGTCATTGTAAGACATGTTCTAAGTCACAATTACATCAATGTCATACTTTTGAGACCAAATTATGTCTAAGACACAATCTAATTCACATTTCTAAGTCACAACTATTTCTAAGACTCATTTTAAGTCCCAAAATTCTAAGATTGGAGACATGCTTATGTCTAAGACCCAATCTAAGTCACAATTCTAACTCAAACCCATGTCTATGTCATGGTAAGACATATTCTAAGTCAAAGTTCTAAGTCACAATTGCATCAACGTCATAATTTTGAGACCAAATATACCTATGTCTGTTTTTGAAGACAAAAATTATGACACTTTTTAAGTCTCAAATTATAAGTCACAATCATTTCTAATTTCTAAGTCGCATTTTTCTCGTTAAATTTTGTTTCAGAGTATGACTCTGATACGATTGTGAAATGAAGGATTTATTTCATCTTGTTTTACAGCTGATGAGAAAACATTTGTGGTGTTAAATCCATCTGAAAAGCACAGGGAAAAACATTGCTTCCATAATACCTAGCTCATTCAGTCATAACTTGACTGGAAAGTTAATATTTTCTCAAAAAGAGTGAGTAAGGCATGACATTCTATTGGTTGTTGGTTTTGATGCTTTCAAAACATCCAAAGTGTTGAAATTGAAAGACGAATATTGTTTAATATTGATGAATACAAAACCCTCCTTAGATCCAAAAATTCCCAACATTTCCAAAAAAGATATGCAAATTTATAGTTCATAAATTAACTCCATTTTTAAAAATGATATTGGATATATTTTGAAAAACCAAACCGATCCCTTATTCAATGTTATAGATGGTTTAGAACTCTCTCAAGCAGATTAAGCTGGGATTAAAAAAGTTTTAGGGAGGACCAAGGTATGCATACTAAAGGTAGAGAGGACCAAGGTATGCATATTAAAGGTAAGGAGGATCAAGGTATGTTTTCTAAAGGTAGGGAGGACCAACGTATGTATACTAAAGGTAAGTAGGACAAAGGCATTATCGATGTATGTATACAAAAGATAGAGAGGACCAAGGTATGCATACTAAAGGTAGGGAGGACCTAGGTATGTATACTTAAGGTTGGGAGGACCAACGTATGTATACTAAAGGTAGGAAGGACCAACATGTGTGAACTAAAGAAAGGGAGGACCAAGGCGTGTATACTAAAGGTGAGAGGACCAAGGCATATCTTGATGTAGGGAGGACCAAGGTATGTATACTAAAGGAAGGGAGGACCAACGTATGTATACTAAAGGTAGTAAGAACCAAGGTATGTGTACTAAAGGTTAGAGGACCAAGGAATTACTACTAGAGGTAGGGAGGACCAAGGTATGCATGCTAAAACTAAGCACAGAGGACCAAGGTATGTATGCTAAAACTAAGTAGAGAGGACCAAGGTGTATGCTAAAGGTAGGGAGGACCAAGGTATGTATAGTACAGATTGCGAGGACCAAGGAATGTACATAAAGGTAGGTAGGATTAAGATATATATAATAAAGGAAGGGAGGACCAAGGTGTGTACACTAAAGGTAAGGAAGACCAAGGTATGTATACTAAAGGCAGGGAGGACAAAGGTATAAATACTTAAGGTGGGTAGACCCAAAGGTATGAATAATAAAGGAAGGAAGGACTAAGGTACACGTATACTAAAGGTATGGAGGACAAAGGTTTGAATACATTTTATACTGTGACAAATTTGTACTCCTTGTAAAACTTATATTAA